CTTAAATGCTTATGACAAAGATCATGGAGATAATGCAAAAATAACTTACACTATATCTTCTGGTAATTATTATGATTAGTACTAATCTGTCTATTCTTGTTAGATTTTAATAGTGATTTATATATAACCAATCATCTTAATTTCATTTTATTATTTAATCGAAGGTATATTAGTACCTAATTTGAATAAAAATTAAAATGTTTTTTCTAACCATAAAAAATACAAAATAAAAAAAATTTCTTATGATGAATTCTAAATTGCTTTTGAATATTAAAATTTTAATTGATTTATTTTAATAAATATTCCATATATGCTTTATCAATTAGTTCAAGATCATTTATGAGTAATGCATTGTATTGACTTTTAAACCTTTTTTGTCCATTCTTGCCTTAGCATATAATAAGATTAATATTTATTTTAACTGTTTTAATGTTACTTGTACTACTCCTCGGTCTTCTTATAATTTTTTTTTTTTTTTGGAGGGATGGGGGAAGTGGCAATGTTACCAATGATAAAATAATATAATGAAAATCTTTTATTGGTCTTACATCTCTCGTGTTTTAGAATAATGGTTCTATTAGTAAGCCACTTTTACCAGTATTTGATTAACTTTGCTGTAACTTATCTTCTCTTTCTTCTAATAAATAAGAAAGTATGGTGCTAGCCCAAGAAATGCATTCTATTAAACTATTAACTACTTCTCCTATGACCATTGACTTAGTTATTTTATTGCAATGGAAAATCCTTTTATTTTTTTTTCTTCTTTGAAGATTAAATTTTAAAAAAAATAAAGTATGAGTAAATTACATAAATTACTTTCAGGTAACGTTGGAAATGCTTTTACTCTTGATCCATTATTGGGAACTCTGCATATAGCCCGAGAACTTGATTTAAATTCTATGACTGAATATATGCTAAATATAAAAGCAAAAGATTCTGGAAATCCTTCATTAATGGGAAATGTTCCTGTTCATATTATGGTTGTCATGGCTGACAATGCTCCTCCAAGGTGACCATGTTATCGTACTATTAATATGCTATTAGTGTTTTATTTATCTTAATATATATATATATATATATATATATATATATATATATATATATATATATACCTTTATTTATTTATATATTTTTTGCTATAGATTTATTAGGCGTGAAATAGCTGCTGAAGTTTATGAAAATGAAGCTCCTGGTGTACCAATAAAAAATCTTGAAGCTCGGAGCACATCTTCCTTGAGTTATGAACTTGTTCGTGGAAACATTGATAATGTTTTCAATATTAATCCTACCACTGGTGCTGTTTACACTAATGCTCCTCTAGATTACGAAAAGACGAGAGTTTATAACCTGAGTGTTACTGCCACTAACATGGTATTTAATTTTTTAGAACTAAATTAAAGTATGATAATTGTAAATAGTTATTTGATTTTATAATAACATAATTTAATTGAGTATGGGAATTACTAGTGCAGATTCCTTTGGTTCAAAGTTTTTTAAAATGTATTTATTAATATTTCATTTCAACATAGAATGTTGTTTTTCAAAACTATAAAGACAAAAGAATTAAGTTTCAAAAGATAATTCCTGAAAATAAAATACACATTTAAAAAAAAAAAGTGCTGGTTTATATCAGCACCTTGGATCCATTAGAAGTCAAAACTTTTTTCATAAAGGATTTTTATTAAAATTTATCTATGACGTTAAATTATGTGTTTAAGCCCTACTTAAACTAGATGTCTTAGGCAGCTTTGATTGATAAAAGGACTATGTAAGTATTAAAGTATGAGCATCTGTCCTTTTCAAAGTTGAAAAGGTTGTGTAACTGGATCAGAAACAATTCATTACCAAATATAAAAATCATATCCACCAATAAAATAATATTTCTTTTAATTTTTTATAAAAATAAAAGCAAATTATAAAAAGTATATATATTTAGCATGAAAGTGTTAAATGTACTGTTGTAAAAATTAAATACTTTGAAGTCTTCCCAAAATATACATTTAAAAAATAACTTTTACTTCCCAATTTAGTTTATTTATTTCTATTTACAAAATTTTATTAAAAGTCATATTATATAAATAAAAAATATATAAAATTATATAAAAAATCATAATATTGACATGAAAAATATAATAATTAAATTCAACAATGCAACATTTATAATAAAATGAGACACAGTGTACAAAGAATGATGGAATAATCGAAACTGATGGACTAAATAAGTGGCCAGGGAGTTGAAAGATGTCATCAACAAACTAGCAGTCATGGATAAAAAGGCCTCAGTTAATATTTTATTTAAAAAATTATTGTACTTAATTTTTGTATAGTTTATGTACCTTGATTATATTTTTTTTTTCTGTTGGCATTACAGACCATGTACATATTTTGCTGCCTTAACAAGTCTGCTCTGTATTTGCCTGTCTTGGGCTATTTCTTTCCATTTATCTGCATGCAGCTCTATTGCATCTTTGTTGATTCTATCTATCCATCTGCTTTTTAGCCTTCCACATGGTCTTTTGCCTTCTATTGAGGCATTCATTGTTACTTAGAAGCTTCCAGATGGATTGCTATGAGCTACATGCCCCACCCATCTTAACCTCCATACCTTCATATGATGGGATATTGATTGACCAGTTTTTGTAAGCAGTTCTTTATAGGTCTTTCTTCTCAATGTGTTAATACTCTGGTCCCAGATCGCTCTGGTTATTATGTAGAGGATTCTTCTCTCAAATCTTTCAATACTTGTTTTCTAGGGTGCTGATTTGTGTCCAGGTCTCTCTGCCATATATTATAATTGGCTTTATTATAGCATTGTACACCCTTTATTTGAAATTTTTGGGATTGTATTATATTATAATACTATTATTATTTTAAGTTCGTAGAAAAAAGCACTTTTTTTTCATTTTATAAAATTTATTTCAGGCTGGAGCCAAGGCTATTTGTCATGTTGTGATTCATGTGTTAGACAGAAATGACAATCCTCCTTCATTTGTTGAAGTCAATTATAAAGGTTGGGTAAATGAGGATGCACCAATTGGTTCACTTGTGCTTTCAAATCAGAGTTCTCCCCTAGTATTAAAAGCAACTGACAAAGATTCTCAACTAAATGCTCTGCTACAGTATGATATCATTGAACCTGCACCTCGAAGAATTTTTCACATTGATTCAACAACAGGTAAAAAAATAATTTTCTGCTGGTAAGTTAAATTAGGTTGTTTTTAGTGTACATCTGTAGAAATATTGAAATCTACTTACATAATAAGCTTTGCTTACATATTAAGCTGTGCTAGTATATTATTACTCTTATTTCATCCAGGATTAGTAATATTATAATTAAAGTATTTCTTATGTTTAGGGGCAATAAGAACAATTGTATCCCTGAATTTTGAAACAAAGCAAGAATATGAATTTTATGTCAGAGTTACTGATCTTGGAAAACCACGCCTGTCTTCCGAAAATCTTGCTAAAGTAAAAATTAGTATAATTGATGTTAATGATTGTGCTCCTGTTTTTTCTCATTCTGTGTATAATGCATCAGTGATTACTCCAACCTATCCCAATATTGCTGTAGCAGAGGTAGGAAACATTATTTTTGATATAAGTGATATATTTAATTTAAAAAAAACTAACATCTCAATCAGAATCAATTAGTTCTAGTATGTATACTTTTCATTAATTATTACTTTTTATTATTTTAAACAAATATTTTATTTGTTAAATTCTATCAGATTAAGAACATATACCATTGTGAAATATTCATTGTTGGCTATTAATAAAAAACGTTTTTTTAATAATTATTTATTTTATTTTTTTAGTTGAGTGCAATAGATCACGATTCAGCCAACTTTACCCAATTGACATATTCTATTATTTCTGGAAATACAAATGGCATTTATTCAATAAATAGTCTTACAGGAATAATAACTATAAAAGAGCCAAATCATCAAGTAGGGAGTTCTCCCCATAGGCTGAAAGTGTCAGTTTCGGATGGAAAATACACAGACGAGGCGTAAGTTTTATTAGGATTAGTACTGTAAAGCAAATGAATAGTAATTAAAAATCTACCAGTTAACACACATATGATGTAATATTATTTACTTTCATTCCTGAAAATATTACATCATAAAAGTAAATATTTCCATTATTCATATAAGAAACTTTTACTTTATGCCAACTCTTTGAGTAGGAACATTGCTTGTGTTGGTTTTATTTTCCACCGATGTTGTCTAAAATCTTAAACTTTAAAATGAATATTGATTGTCAGCCTCACAGATGTTGTGTAAATTTTATATTTTTGAATTAAAAAAAAAAAAGACTACATCTTGTAATTTTTTATTGTTTAATTATTCTTGTTCTTATAATAGTGTTATTATAACACTAGTTTCAAACAGACATATAAAATATAAAGAATAAAATACTCCTTAAAATATATCAGAGGTTGACCATTGATATATGCTTTAACAAACTAAAAATTTTACAATTAAATATTTGATATGAAAATCGAGTAATATGGAAATAATAACACCTGAGGTAAAAAAACTGGAATATTGGCTTGAGTTCTTTTATTGAGATTTTATTATTTTGTACTACATTACTTACAATTAGACGTCTTAACTTTTTCACCTTCAAGATATGTTATATAGTTATCAAAGTGTTGTAGGAAAATTTAAACATAAATTTTAAAATTGAAAAATAAATATTATATATTTTTCCAGCTTTAAGTATGTATGAAAGTCGAACAGCTGAAAAACTATTAATATTTATGCATGATATTTAAAAATATGAGGTTTGAATAATATACTATACTTTGAAAATCAATCATAAAAAAAATTATTTTCTGTTATATATTGTTTATCAACGGTCAAATAAATGAACTACCTTATTTTTTATTTTATAGTATAGTCAATGTTTGGTGGACCAATAGCCAAGATTCTGGACTAATATTTCAAAGACATATTTACCAAGGAGCAGTTTTAGAAAATTCGACAAAAGTAAATACAGTTGCTGTTGTCACTGTATTGGGGAGTCACTTGAATGAGCATCTTGATTTTTCTATTTTAAATCCATCTCCTCTTTTCTCTATTGGATCAACAACTGGTGTTATCAGAACAACAGGATTAAGATTTGATCGAGAAGCACAGGAAAGCTACCAGTTGATTGTTCAGGTATCATTGTTATCATTATTATCATTGTTTATATATCAGTAAAATCACATTATATATTTATAATTTCTTTTTCAACCTAGAGTATTTGCAAATAGGAATACAAGATATTTACGTGGTAGGATGAAACTATTACAAGTCCCTATTGCTTGAGAAAACATCTTTCTTATGCACCAATGTTTATCTTGCTCTATACTTCAGCAACATATTTAAAAAAAATACTGTATAATAATTTTATAATTTATTTTCCATTTGATATATTTTAATAATGATAATGAACTCAAAGGTTGAATGGTGAAAGCATCCAACACTGCCTACACCCTCCTTATAGCTATTCAAATGAATATGGTGCTAGTGTATCATGTTTCGGGGAGGATATTTTTTTGTTTTCTTTTGTTCGAAATTTTTTGACAGATCACATATTCTAATGTTAATTGAATAAAACTAAAGAAAGACAGTAGTCCTAATTTTAAATATACATGAACCTCAAACTTCTTGGAATAATGATTACCAATTTGTACTATACTTCCTTGAATATTTTTGACCTTCACTTCCTTACTAGATTCTTTTTACTCTCTACTCAATTAAAATATTTTAACAGCTTCTAGGATTCGATAGATTCATTTATACAAGATTTGATTGAGCATTTCAGCTATACATTAAGATCTTACAATAGTTAAAGATTTTCTCTATCTAGTTTAAAGCATAATCGATTTGATTTTTAAAATTTCAATTCAAATTTAAATTTCTTCCTGGGTTTCATTTAGGATATCTACGATATATATTTAAATAAATTAATATTTAAAACAGGACCCACTCAATCTTATGAAAATATGTGAGTTGTTACTTTTGAAAATATTAAAATCATATCTTTAATTTATCCTTCTAGGTAAAAAGTGAAGAATCTATTGAAAATGAAGTAAGAGTTGCTCACGTTCCAGTAAATGTTACTGTTTTGGATATAAATGATAACTGTCCTATGTTTGTTAATCTTCCATACTATGCTGTTGTTTCCATTGATGCAATTAAAGGAGATGTTATTACTAAGGTAAATCTTAGTTCAGATTACAGTGTAATACTGAAGTGAAACTCTTTTTAATGTATACTAATATTTTAAAACAACATTTACTTTTACAGGTCCATGCTATTGATTTAGATAAAGGTGAAAATGGTGTAGTGCGTTATGAGTTAGTTAGAGGTCATGGTGAATTGTTTAAAGTATGCCGTAAAACTGGAGAAATTACCTTAAAACAGGCCTTAGAAGGCCATAATCGAGAGTATCAGTTGATTATTGGTGCTTACGATGGAGGTAGCTTTCATGTTTATTTAGAAAAGAAATAAAATTATGTATATAATCTAATGTATTCATTCAGTATTTCATTAAGAATGTTTAACGTTATGAGCATTTTATTATTATTTCAGGTAATACACCATGCTCTACTGAAGTCCCTGTAAGTGTAAAAGTAATGGATCGATCGATGCCTGTGTTTGATCACCAATTTTATACAGTTACTACTCCAGAAAATGTTGAACTTCATACACCACTCTCTGTTAACATTCAAGCTGAGTCACCTCTTGGTAGAAAATTAATATATGCCATTGTTAGTGGTGATACTTATGATAAATTTTCAGTCGATTTCAACACAGGTAAATTTAGTTTTATTTTGAATTATCTGATTACATGATGTAAATATTATAGATATTATTGAAATCAATGGAAGATCATTAATACCTTTCTATTGTTTATATATAAGATTCATCAGTTCTATAAGAATCCAACTGGAAATTAGTAATATTGTAAAAATAGCTAGAATATGTCTCCTGATATTAAGATAAAGGCAAAGCTAACTTCTTTATAATTTCCATTAAAGTGTAATTACCATGCTCTTGCCTCATTGAGTCAAAAAGATACAAAAAATTTCTGGTTGAGATTGCTATTACTTATGTACAGCCTTGTTTCAAAGACATATACTAAAATGTACCTGTTAAGCAAAGACACGGAAGCTATAAAACTAAATACAACAACGTTAATAAAAGCTGATAAAGAACTAGGATTCGCAATAAACACTGATACGACAATATGTGTAGTTAGCTGCAAAAATGGCGATAATTGGATATAGAAAGTAATATGGTATGGAGATGGTTGACCGTAGGCTCTAAACAAACTTGAACAGGAGATTAAGGTTACACTGAAGGCGGTAAATACTTGTTATTTTTCTGTTACAAAACTACTTAGTTCTCACCTTCTATCCTGGAACTTAAAAATTAGGATCTATAAAACCATTATCCTAACTATGGTTCTTTATGAATACGAGATGTGACTACTTACTTAGAGGATGGTCAACTTCTTAAGGTTTTTGAAAATAAAGTATTGCATAAAATATTCAGACCGAAGAAGGATGAGTTAACCGGAGAGTTCAGACAGTTATACAACTCCAGATTGGGTGAATCATATCCGGTTAATATAATTGAGATGATTACATCCCGGAGAATTAAATGGGTTTGTAAAATTGTTGGACTTGGTAACAAAAGAATTCCTAAGAGATTAATATTTGCTGTGCCGACTATTAAACGTTTGAGGGATAGACTGAAGCGAAGGTGGGAAGATTGCGTTAAGGCCAATCTGAATGGACTTGGATGGGTTTGGATGGCGACTGGTGGAGAGAGGTGTGTAGACAGCGGTTGGTGATGTCAGCATCAAACCTTCGGGTTTGCTTAGCTTTTTATTATTATTATTTTACTAAAAGTGTAGTGCAATGTCATAAAAACATCACATTAATGTTAAATAAAAGATACAAAATTTTAAAATGTTTTAAAAAAAAAGGCAAGTTAGCTCATTTTTATAAGTTATTTACTATTGGTAACTAAACAATATATAACAAAGAAACCAGACTAAATTGAATCATTCTTCAATAGTGCCATTAAATCATCTTACAGTACAAGAAAAATTTGAAACTGGGTGAGTTTCCGTCATTAGAGATGCACTTTATGGTTGGTTCGTGCTAAAAACAACCTGGTGCATGACTTTTCAGCAAAATTCTCATGGGAAAAGCAGAAATGTTTTGTAGTAAAATTATGTCTTTCAGGTATTCAATACTTTATTTTAATCCAAAAAAAACAACATTAAAAATGTTTTCAGTACTAACATTTAAGCACATACGAGGGGAGTAAATTAATCAATGAGACTAATTTTTTTTTTTTAATAAAATTACAAATTCACATTGTCTCCTTCAAATTAACTACCTTGAGAAGCCACACAGCATTGGAGACAATTCTTCCATTCTTCATAGGTAGCAGTGCTAGAAGTCAGATACTGGAATAGCCTTCAATTGGTCAGTTATGGCTGTGTGAATATTCTCTAAAGTCTCGAAATGTCGTGCCTTGAGGTGATTTTTCAATCTTGGAAACAGAAAAAAGTCACATGGACTTAAATTGGGTGAATTAGGTGAATCTCTGAACACATGAGATCATGGATTTGCCAACATTTTCATTGATACTTGACAATGAAAGCTTTCTGCTGCGAGGCTCGCCTTCAATTGATTCTCTTCCTTCTGAAAATGGCTTAAACAACCTAAATACCTGGGCTCTCTACAATCACTGTTTCCATAGGTCTGACTAAAAAGCTTTTGTTGTTCTGTGTCCAAGTCTGAAGTAAAATCTGATAGCACAACATTGTTCAAAATTGATGTCACTCATTTTTAAAATGCACTAAAAAACTTTATCACAAAAAAATTCACTACCGACAGTGCAACAACTCTGGCATGTTCTAATTTGTACTGGACACCTATCAGATGTTTATCTGCCTATCCCTCTATGTCCCACATACCCAGTGGTACCAGATCGAACATTAGAAAATCAGTCTCATTACTTAATTTACACACCTCGTGTTTCAAATTTGTATGTGAATTGGCTTAATCTTTTGTTCTTTAACCATTTACACATATTACATTAATTTATTATATACTCCAACCCCAAGGAGGCCCCTAAAACTTCCACAAAAATAATTGATTTACATTTTTAATTACCCAGGCAATTTCCAACTGCACTACTTTATAATTATTTGCTCTTCAATCATTTTACTTTTCCCAGGAAACTTACTAGAGCATAACTATATATGTATGGAAGAACCACTTTAAAGTGACATTGGCTTGATTGTTAGAATAAATAAACTATTAATGACAAGCTAATGATTTTGAAGTTCATTTTATACATATATAATGTACTTCAAAATCATTAGATGGTCTTCCAAATGGTTATAATATTAATTGATATATCTGCAGTAGTAATTACGATTCATGTTGTAATATTTTCCTAAACCTTTATTTAATCTTAATTATAACTTATTTTATTTTATAGGTGGTCTTTATGTAGTAGATGATTTGGATTATGAAACTCAGAGAGAATATGCTCTGACTGTCCGTGCTACAGACAGTGTTTCAGGAGTTTTTGCAGATGTGCTTGTTAGTCTTTTAGTGACTGATGTGAACGATTGTCCTCCTGAATTCAAAGTCGATTCATATAATATTTCTATTTCTGAAGCTTCTCCTTTCGGATCTGTCATCCTTAAAGTACATGCTCAAGATAATGACACAGGTTCAAAATTGTTGCTTCAACATTTTTATGACTTCTATTTTACATTTAATATGGCATTGATATTATAAAAAAAATGTTTTCAGGCTTGAATGGTAAAATTCAGTACTCCATTGAAAAAATTGGTAACAGTGATCCTGATCATTTCCATATCGATTCGGATGATGGGTCTATTTATTTAAAACAATCTTTAGATCATGAAACTCAAACATTGCACCATCTTATTGTTATAGCTACTGATGAAGGAGTGCCAAGCCTTTCAAGTTCTGTTCATGTGTGGATTACTGGTAAGAGACCTCATCAGGTTTTATTTTTTTGCTAAATTTAAAAGTAGTGATAGTGATTAAAATGTTACTGATAAAATTAAATCATTTTCAAACAACTTAACTTTATTATTATTTACTAGAATAATGTTTATTAATGAATATTTGAGACAGATATAGAAATAAGATTGTAAGAATAGTTGCAGTGCAAGAAAATCCTCACCACCATTTTCATCTAAAAGATATGTTATGGAATTCTTTAAATATTTAGTTTTTTATTTTAATTAGGAGAGTATCATGAACTCAATATTAAATACTGGATGTATAGCATTTCCAAGTCAATTTCAACCTTTTCCAAATCAAATTCAACCTTTTCCAAGTCAAATTAAACCTTTTCCATTTCAAATTCAACCTTTTCCAAGTCAAATTCAACCTTTTCCATTTCAAATTCAACTTTAGAATTTTTGTCAATTTTCGATTTTTTTCGAAATGAAGGCCACTTACTATATTATCGACGGCATAGCTTTTAAAAAATACAAAAAAAAATTTGATTATGCAGTTGCATATCCATTTATTTTAACATTTTAGATTTTTTCAGTGTGATATTTCTATGTGATATTCAATTATTTCCAAGTCAAATTCAACCTTTTCCAAGTCAAATTCAACCTTTTCCAGATCAAATCAAACTTTTTCCAAGTCAATTCAACCATTTCCATTTCAAATTGAACCTTTTCCAATTCAAATTCAACCGTTTTCATTTCAAATTAATGTTTTAAGCTTTTGTAAATTATATATATTTTTTTAAAATAATGGCCATCCCCTCCTCCCCTCCAATATGAAAGTCTATTATTATGCTCTCCTAAGTAGAATTTTCACTTACGGATATCGATTTATTGTACCTATTCGGATTTCTTAGGGACTAGTATTATGCTGTCCTGTACCTAGTTTTGAAAATAACCTCCATTTTAAGATTACGTGACTGCGTTTCGAATCATTTAAGTTTTTTTGACAAATTCGATATGTGGGTGTATTTTTATGTTTCCCGATCAGTAAATTTTGAAAATGACATCCATTTTATGTTTACGCCACTGTGTTTTGACTTATTTAAGTTTTTAGAATTTATCCAATATAAAGGTCTACTTTTATGTTTCCGGAGCCGTAGATTTTGAAAACGACCTTCATTTTAAGATTAGGCCACCGCGTTTCGACTTATTTGAGTTTTTTGGATATTTTTCATATGAGGGTGTATTTTTATGTTTCCGGAGCTGTAGATTTTGAAAATGACCTCCATTTTAAGATTAGGCCACCGCGTTTCGACTTATTTGAGTTTTTCGGATTTTTTTCATATGATGATGTATTCTTATGTTTCCGGAGCCGTAGATTTTGAAAACGACCTCCATTTTAAGATTAGGCCACCGCATTTCAATTTCTTTGAGTTTTTCGGATTTTTTTCATATGAGGATGTATTCTTATGTTTCCGGAGCCTTAGATTTTGAAAACGACCTCCATTTTAAGATTAGGCCACCGCATTTCGATTTCTTTAAGTGTTTCGAATTTTTATCATAAAAGAGTGTATTCTTATGTTTCCGGAGTCGTAGATTTTGAAAATGACCTCCATTTTAAGATTACGCCACTGCGTTTCGGCTTATTCAAGTTTTTCGAATTTATCCAATTTAAAGGTCTACTTTTATGATGCCGGAGCCTTAGTTTTTAAAACGACTTACATTTTAAGATTAGGCCACTGTGTTTCGGTTTTGTTAAGTGTTTTTGATTTTTCCTTCGAATAAAAAACATAATACGAAGGATTAATTTATTTTTCAATAAATAAATAAAAATATCTAATCAAAATAAATAAAATATGTATTGTCTCATTTTTAATTTAATTTTAGTTATCTTTTTTAATGTTGTGGTCTCCTATCACAAAATTATAAGATTTCGAACAATTAGCTGAAAAATCTGAATATGGAAGGTTAAATTTATTACCAGTTGCTTTTCGGCTTTTTAGTTTGTATTGTGTGGTTAATTTTACTTTAGCTTCATAATATTTATTTATTTATTCATACTCGAAAACATATTGATGAAACTTTGTATTGAAAAAATCCAAAATGAAGCCTAATTAATCAAGATACAGCGGCTTAATCATAAAATGGAGCTTAAATATTAGATAAATTTAAATATTAAAGATTAGAAAAAATTCAATACGTCTCGGATAACATATAAGTAGATCCTTATACCGAAAAAGTAAAAAAAAAACTTTTATAATCCAAAACAGTGGCATAAACTTTAAATTGGGTCATTTACAAAATGGGGGAAATCTACTGCTCCAGAAACATAAAATTAGACCTTTATACTTGTTAAATTCTAAAAATTTAAATAAGTTGAAACGCAGTTGCGTAATCATAAAATAAAGGTCATTTTCAGAATCTACGGTTCTGAAAACATAAAAGTAGACCTTTAAATTGGATAAATTCGAAAAACTTAAATAAGTCAAAATGCAATGGCGCCATGATTAAATGGATGTCATTTTCAAAATCTACGGCTCAAGAAACATAAAAGTAGACCTTAATATTGGATAAATACGAAAAACTTAAATAAGTCAAAACGCAGTGGCGTAATCATAAAATGGAGGTCATTTTCAAAATCTACAGCTCCAGAAACATAAAAATACACCCTCATATGAAAAATATCCGAAAAACTCAAATAAGTCGAAACGCGGTGGCCTAATCTTAAAATGGAGGTCATTTTCAAAATCTATAGCTCTGGATACATAAAAATACACCCTCACATGAAAAATATCCGAAAAACTTAAATAAGTCAAAACGCAGTGGCCTAATCTTAAAATGGAGGTCATTTTCAAAATCTACAGCTCCGGATACATAAAAATACACCCTCATATGAAAAATATCCGAAAAACTCAAATAAGTCGAAACGCGGTGGCCTAATTTTAAAATGGAGGTCATTTTCAAAATCTACAGCTCCGGATACATAAAAATACACCCTCATATGAAAAATATCCGAAAAACATTACAGATCTTGTAGGTCTTTTTCTGGCTTAACCAGCCTTCTCCATCTCTGCCTTTCTTGGGCTATTGTGTTCCACTTATCTACATGTAACCTTTCATGTGTTCATGAATCAATGAATGTATGTAGCAATACATAACGTATGAAAGATTGTCAAAACTGCCCCGAAAATCTACGTTGGTGAAACATCCAAGCAATTAGGGACCAGAATTTCACAACATATTACTAACTGTAAAAATACAAAAAACATAAACATAACTGCTTTAGCACATAACAGCATAAATTTAACTTCAACAAACCACATATAATTGGCACAGAACCAAAAAACACCAATAGGAAATTACTTGAAGCAATACACATCACAAAAAAACAATAGAACAACAGTAAATTATAAAACAGACACTAAACATTTAGGAACTCATTATACGGACATATTAAACAAAATTAAAATTTAATAGAAATGAAATTGCAGATACATGAAATAAACATTAACAACAATAGTATAAAAATAAACAGACAGATCCAAAGGTCAATTGTATTCACTATGGCAGACACCCAATAATTAGTCTAAAAGCAAGATGTTGCTCTAGATTTTATATACGTAGATTATTATAACATGAATTAGAAACTGATGATGGAGCACATTAATTTTAAGGTAATCACAAATTGATTGTAAGAAGAAAATTCTGACATGTATTGTAACATGCCAGAACATAAAGTATGTTAGATATTTTTTTCTGTTAGTATTACAGACCTTGTAGAACTTTTGCTACCTTAAAAAACCAGCTCCATCTCTGCCTGTCTTAGTTTCGGGAATAATAAAGATGTTTGTTACTGTATGTATATATTTCTTTTTATTAATAAACTTCACATTGAATAAAAACATGGGGTCTGTCAACTAACACATAACCTATAAATGTGCCTGCTGGTAAAAAAAAGGTTGGGAACGCCTGCACTACAGCTTCTTAAATCCTGGAGAAACCAGCAGTACTGAATTGTACTGTAACAAAATTGATGCAATGCATTAGAAATTGTTTATTGGGAACACACTCATTTATATTTATGTACAAATCAATATGTTTACTCATACTTAATTCATTTTAATTATAAGGTTAGATTATTATGTTATGATTGCTAAAATGTATATTATTCTTTTTATTTTTTTATAATTCCAGACAATTTTCATCTTTTTGTTCATTATAATTATTCTAAGGGGGTTAAATGTCCCAGAATAAAATTTATTTTTCTTCTTTCTTATAAAAAATCCTGCATTATTTTCTTGACAACCTAATACTTTTATATAATAGAGGATTGTCTGGCTCAATACCTATTACACATTCAGTATATCTCAAATGGTATGAAAATCTCAAAGCTCTGCTAACTCTATGTGAACTATGGAAAAGATTATTGGACAATTTTTCTGTAACATGTAAATGTAGTTTCATGCTGAACAATCCAGCTAATCAAAAATGCAGTTTTTTTATTAGGGAATAGGACTGTCATGCCCAAGATAAGTCGTAGGAGGTAACTGAAAGACATTAAAAAAATTCCTCCAACCCAGTTATCTGAGCATTCATCAAAAACCATAGTGTAATAAATGAAAATTTTAGAAATAAAACACCTTGGTATTTTAATGTAAATGAAGATTTATTTTGATACATTCTTTTATATATTAAAATAATATTTATTTTATTTTTATTGCTAGTAATTTTTATTCACTTAACAAACAAAAATTAAGATTATATCATTTATTCATTCCTCCTTAAATAACCATGAAAATTATAGTAATTTATAAATATTTTAATTTTTTTTTAGTATTAGATATGAATGACAATCCTCCAAAATTGGAAAAAAATGTGTATAGTTGTTGGCTTTCTGAAGAAGCCACAAGAAACCAATTTGTTACTATTGTGACAGCCAGTGATCCTGACTCAGTTGACCATAGGCACTTATCTTACAGTATCGTTGGTGGTAATCATCAGCAAACATTCTCTATGGATTCTTCCACAGGTAATTTCAGATTTTTAGTGTTTACAACTATGAATGCAAAAATATACATATTTATTTATTAAAATGATCAAAATATTCATTGTATATCTTCTAAGAAAAGCATATTATCTTAGTTTATGTTTTTTTAGTAAATTATTATGACTGTGTTTTTATGTTTTTAATTTACTTATCTTTAGGTTATTTTATTTTTTTATTTTACATAGTTTTTATTATTATTATTATTTAGTTGTTATTTTACTTTTGTTAATTTTATATTTTCTTTATATATGGTGTGAATGTGTTCATTTATCACTATAATTATTGTGCACGAGACAGAATATTATATATCTAAATAAATAATTAAAAAAATAAATAAATAAGTTATTATAATTTAACTTATGTTGTATTCACCTTGATTTTTTTATGTCTGAAATATTAGCAATATACTGCATACATTTAAATATATTTATTTTAATTTTATAAGTTATGTTGCAAAAATTATTTTAAAATTAATGCAAAATTTTATTAATTTTTTATGCAAAATTTTTTATCAGCTTCTTGATTTATCTTGGTATTTATTTATATTATTTTTACCTTAAATGATAAAGTAAAAACATTCATTGCAGGTATAATAACATTAACAAACCTGCATAAATTGACTGAAACAAAAGCCCATACACTGAATGTTTCTGTCAGTGATGGAATATATACTAGTTTTGCCAGGGTAAGGGTTGAAATGATTTCTGCTAATAAATACAGTCCAGTATTTGAAAAACACCAATATGAAGCTAAAATATCTGAAAATCTGCCATCTGGAACTAGAGTGTGCAAAGTTCATGCAGTTGACAAAGATAATGGAAACTATGGAATCCCAAGTTACTATATATCTTCCCAAGTTCTTCTTGAAAAATTTATGGTTGATAATTTTACAGGTCTGTTTATAATATTAGTACTAAAATCTTAGAACTTTTTAATTTTTTTTTTTATATATGTAAGGTAATTTGTCTTATTACTTCTGAAACATTAAGAAATGTTTTCTCTTAATGAAAAGTTTTAACATATTTAATAGTAATACTTATCTATTATCTTCTTCTTTATCATCTTTTCCATACCTATCAAGTTTATTCATTCATTGCTGACCAAATTCATTGGGTTGCTGTAGTATACAGCATTCCAATCAAACAATTAAATATTCCTAAATTAAAATAAAAAAACTATTATTATTGTTTCTCTTTTCTAATATTAATTAATGTTTCCTTTTCCTCCATCTTTTTCTAGGGATGAATTCCATATCTCACTCTTTTATTTGTTTTTCATATTTTATCTTTCAATGTTTTATGAAATAAGTTCGATGTGAACTGCTTCTGAAATTTCTAATTAATACATTGTAAATGAATTGTTTTCATGTAAATAATTTCAGATTGAAAATTGATTAAAGATGTATTATTGAATATTCATTATTAGGAAAAATATTTTGTTTTGATAAACAATTACTTTATGTTTTATATGAGGCTGTGATGCCCACGAATTGTATGAGGGTCCCAGAGTTCGGGATAGTATAGGTTCAGTTCCATTCGGGTCAGTCATTATTTATTTTGCACTGGTCTCAAAACATAAGGACAATCTCTTGGTAGCCTTCAGGAACTGGCTTTTATAAAAATAAAATAGGCCCAGACTGGTTTTCCAATTATTACCAGTACCCATAATTTTTGTTAATTTTATTATTTTATGTGGCAATTTCATTTGTTGTCCTTTGAAATCAGTTGAATCTAAATATAATAAAATTAGTAATATGAGTTCGTAGTTTTTAATTAAAAAAAAATGTATTATATACTCTCTTCTTATTAACTTATATTTTTGTGTAGGTGAAATTTATACTAAACAAATACTAGATAGAGAAGTTAAAAAACTGTATGAAATTCCTGTAGTAGCAATTGATGTCGGTGGAAAATTGGGTTTTACATCAGTTAGAGTCTGGGTTACAGACATTAATGACAGTGTTCCTAAATTTTTACTTCCAGAGTACAAAGCTTCTATTCCAAGCAATCTTTCTGTTAATTCAGGATTTCTAAAGGTAAAACTTTAATAAATATATTTTAGTAATTTATGTTTTGAATTTTGAAATAATAAGAAAATTTATTTATTTTAACTACTAATTTAAAAAGTGTATTTATATTAATAATAAGTCTAATTTGTATGCTAAAATATATTATGTTTGTTGGTTTTTAAACTTCAGGTCAAGGCTACTGATAAAGATGAAGATATTTCAGCCCAAATTGAATATTCATTGTATGACAAAGGTTCAAGAGGGGTTAGGGACTTATTCCACATTAACAAAAATACTGGAGGCCTGTCATTATTGAAATCAGCTATTCCATATGGTAGATTAGCTTTATTATTTGTAGTATTTTTTTTTTTTTTAATTTCCCCGTGAATACTTATTTAAAATAATGTAATTTATGCCTAAGTGTTATCTTTTTGTAAGTTAGCTGTTATATTCCAACTTGGAACAAAAAGGGGCATTATCCAAAATTTTTAAATTTGAATGATCTGCACAAAAGAGTATACATTAATTATTTTAGGAGCTAATTTCCTCCGATTATTAGTTTGTATCAATAATTCATAATTTGAATATCTTGGCCCTTTTAATAATTAATGTAATCCTACGCTAATTGTTTAGGGGGCAGCTCTTTCAAATTTAAAAATTTTAGACATAAGCCCTTTCTCTTCCAAGGTACAGATATAATAGTTCGATAAGATAAATAATTATGTTCTGCATATTTGTTTCCACCTATTTCATTGTTTGATGTTTTAAATTGAACTATTCATTATCAAAACTATGCTGATATATCAACATATAATTACCTTCGTATATAGTTACTTTAACATCATTATTTTTATGTATTAATTCATATTACACTGCTTAATTGTATAACTTATCAGTAAATGCATTTATAATTGACTTATTATTATTGTATATTCTGTTATGTGATATTTTAACACTTTATAAAATCTTGATTTCAAAATATTTGTTAAATATATGAGAATATTGGTCATGTAAAAAGTAATTTAGTTATAAAATATTATTTATTTTGAAACCATACATTTATAGATAATTGAAATATCACATAACAGAAAATATTATTATAATAAGGAAATTATTTATGCATTTGCTGATAATTTAGACCATTAATTAGTGTAATATGAATTGATATATAAATGATGATGTTGATAAACTTACTATATATGATGTGTAATTATATGTTGATAGATTGGAATGATTTTGATAATTGATAGTTTAACCAAAAATGGCAATCAATAAAATAAAAAGAAAGAAGTATAAAGGTATAATTTATCTTACTACACTACTTTATATTTGAATGTTCTTAAACTTTCTGCTTGGTCTTACCTATTTGTTTCTATTGTATTAATTTAATTTAGTAATTATTTTAATTTTATTATGAAATAAAATGCAAATGATATAAAAATAGATTTTAATATATTAAATTTTTGTTATGCAGTATAAAATCACATGCAAAATTATTTATTTTTCAGAAACACAAGTGTTTCAATTTTTTATTAGAGCCACTGATCGAGGAATTCCAACACTTCATGCTGATGTTCCAATTGACATATATATAATGGCAAGTAATGATATGCCCCCAATTTTTGAAAGAAGAGATGACAAGTTTTTTGTTGCAGAAAATGCTGATCCTGGTATATGAAATATTAATATTATTTGTTTATTTATTTTTAATATTAAAAGATTTATTTACCAAAATAATATTTTTAGGAACAGTTATTACAAGAGTAAAGTTAGTTTCTGATATGTCTGTGAAATTCAAATTGCTATCAGGAAATGACATTTTTAGTATTGATGCTAATGGAGAAATCACACTTATGGGTAAACTCGATCGTGAGAAATACCCATCTTATATTCTTGGAGTTCTTGCATACACTGATTCAAGTCCTCCATTAACTGCATTTACCGAAATATCATTGCAAATTTTAGATCATAATGATAACAAGCCTCTTTTCCAAAATGAAAATTATATAGTTTCAGTAGCAGAGAATATTGAAGAAGGGAGCTCTATAGTAAAAGGTAATGTATTATTTTATTTTTTCATTTACTGTAGTTTTTTCTTTCTTGGACGTGTTTAGAATTGGTTATGTACTCTTCATGATATTTTCACGTATCCACTAATTTATTCATTGTACAGCCCATACACACATATCATTAATTCAACCCTTGAACTGATAATTTTTGTTTTTCCTACATCTCTCCTACTGACCTTATTTCCTCCATTATGAAACCACATACCAGTTCCGTTTGGCTTGATCTGTTAAATTGTTTTAACTATGCCACCCTGAAATCCTTTGAATTTTTCTTTTCATCTATTATTTTTCCCTCCAAAACACATTATTTCCTTCCTCTTGATAAAAGCTTTAGTCCAATCTTCCCCAATAGCTCTATTCCTTGGTTTCAATCTCTGCTTACCATTTGGACCCATGCGGTTTTTATTCTAAACCAAACCCTATCTTCCTTCCTCACCCTATCCTCTCTTGAAGCTCAGGATTTGAGCATTTCTCATCTCTTTTTCAATTCCTGTATCAATGAGCTTCCTAATTCAATACACCATCTATATCCTCATGACTCCTAAATCTATTTATGCTTTTCTCTTTTTGAGTCATCAATGGTGTTTCTATATGTTCAGGAAAAACTAACTAGTATCAGTGCCTGGGCTATTATGGATTAAATAAGAAAAACCCATACTGCCCATATTTCCACTCTGCCAATAGTCACACTTAAGTTATTTCATCGTTTCCATCAGGGGTGCCCAGAAGGGAATTTCATGGCGCAAGTTGTGCCATCAAAATTTTTGAGGGACCATATTTTGATGGGGTTATAAATTTTCGGATTAAGGGACAAGGGGAAAACATGGAACAGACCACAGCAAGTGTAATTGTATATGATCTACGATTTTTCTGATTCTACCTTAGATTGCTTTGTTTTAAAGAAACAGTGACTAATAAAATATCTTGGAAGGAGAGGGAGAGGGATAGGATAGGTTCTTGCGCCATTGATCTTGGAGGTGATGGGCACCCTATGGGGGTTTTCGTCATCTTTCTCTACAACCTACAAACAGGCTCTTTGTATTTTCACTTATTTTACTCCACTTTGATTATGGCTCTGTTTGGCTATGGTATATGTTGGCCTTCGATAGTACTTTAGGACAGATTGAAGGAAATCATGAACTGCTCTCTAAGATTCTTCAGTACCTCGAAGTAGTTTTATGTGTTCCACTTCTATTATAGTGAATTAAAGTTGCTTTTCCTCTCCTCCTATCTACTTTTTTTTTTGTACATTTCAATAATATTTATTCTCAAGATAATCTTCTTTTTTTTATTTTTTATATTTTTATTCTGTTGATGGACATTTGTCCTAATATTTACGATTTGATGAAAATAATTGAAGCAATCACTAGGTTTTTTTATTTTAAACATAAATTTTAGTAAGAAACATTAATTTTTTCATACATACATATCATAAATACATATCAATTCCTATGATGTAAATCTGGGAGAAAAACATAATTTCAGCGCTACTTTGAGTTAAAATAACATTATTTTTAATTTTTTTATATTTATAAGTAAAATATGTTTTTAGGCAATTATGCTTATTACAGTACATCCAAAACATAATTACAAATACATTGGAAAAACAAGAAATAAAAGCTTTTCAACAGTTAATTGTAGTCATTTTTGCTGAAAACACGAGTAATTTTAGATGACTGGATAGAAAATCACATCATTTCTTTGTTTTACAAAATATAAAATTATAATGATTTTCAGTGATAGTTGTAAATAGAATTTTACCCTTCTTTTCAGTGCATGCCTCTGATGCTGATGAAGGAACTAACGGAGAAGTTAGGTATGGAATCACTGGTCCAGGGACAGAAACTTTTGCGATAGATGCTCATACTGGATGGGTCACTACCCTTATTGCTTTAGATAAAGAAACTATTCCCAATTATAAACTGAATATTATTGCTACAGATGGAGGAATCCCTCCCAAAAGTAGCAACGTGTCGCTTTATGTTAATTTGGTTGATTATAATGATAACCCTCCTGTCTTTACTCGAGAATCATACACAGCATCAGGTAAAAATATTGTAAATTATATTAATGTTTCAGTTATTTCAGAAATAACAAATGGGACTTTTCACAATTTTGGGTAAAATACAAAAAAATAATTTTTACTAAAATTTAAAATATAACTCAATAATAATAACTCAAATTGGCAAAAAGAATTGTGTTGTTTCTGAATAATCTAATTCAGTTTCCCATTGTTAAAATCACATTACTACAATGAACTTTCTTTAATCTCCATTTTTTATTCAATTATTTTTTTGCAGTTAATGAGGATGCTCTTCCTGGCACTGTAGTTGTTCAAATATTTGTAACTGACAAAGATAGTGAAGCAAATAATGTAGAATTCCACATCATAGCTGGTGATCCACATACACAATTTGATGTGAGGTTGACTGGAGAAGTTTATGTTGCACGACCATTAGATAGAGAAACAATGGACAAGTATGAACTCACTGTCTTAGCAACTGATGGAAAATTTGTTGCAGTTGCTGCTCTTTACATAGATGTTCTAGATGTTAACGGTATGCTTAAAATATATTTAATTATTTTATTTAAAACAATAACAACCGCAATGTTTCCTTAAAAAATGGTTAATTTTTATTTTGGGACGGATTGTTCTCTAAGAATAATGAAGTAACACAGTTGACTGGATTTTAAGTATGATCATTCATTCGTGTATGTGTAGGAGTAATCAGTTTTAATATAAAATGAAGTGCTAATCAAATAATTATAATAAATAATTAGGAAATTACCTCTGCAGTTTGGTAACCCAGCCTATTGCTTACTTCCTCCTAAAACCATTTTCACTTGTTCCTGTTGTGTGATAGTCATCCAGTTCCTTGTACTGGATGTATTGTCAATATTGATTATACCTCCCAGCAGGTTATCATTTAAACAATGGCTTGATTAGTTCCTTTTTGTATTTTTATTCTTAGAAATACAAGCATGGGTTGATCCCTTTAAAGCCTTCTGATCTTCACTAGTTTCTTAAAATAATTGCACACATTTCTAATTTTATGTTCTAAAATGTTCAAAGGTCAGGTTTATTTTCAAAAGTAAGGAGGTAAAGATTCACAGCCTAAGTAGTTCTCCAGTTTTACTTGAATGGTCTTGAAATTTTGGTAAATGAGAATACTTTTTCAGGGTTATCACAAATTAAAATAGCACTGGTTTGCTACATCTGACCATCTAATTTTCACTGCAGTGTAATTATTTATTTTATTAGAGAAACTAAGTTAACAAACTCAGATAATTGTCGAACAGACAATACAATTTTTTATTTAATTAGTCAAAATTAATTTTCCAAGGATAAGGAAAACTTCATAACAATCATATATTTGCCATTAATAACTTAACTCTTATCACCTAACACCTAATACAGTCTTCAAAGATCAAAATTTCATAATTTTTGTTATGTTTTTAAGACCTTTTTATATTTTTATAAGCTTTGACTCATATTATATTGTTTTGTTTAATTCTTCTGTGTGAGAATCTCATCGTATCATAATATTCATTAGTATATTCCTTGTCATCACTAACGGATCCAGTAATTAATTTTGGGGGGAGCATGACGGGCTGCAGCCTGAAAGATTTTTTTTTTTTTGTATGTATATATTATAATAATTGCTTTGGAAGAAAAAAAGAAACTAAGTACCTCTATGAAATGGCGTTTAATTGATTCTTTAATTCCTATTAAATGTAATTAGACCAACAATAATACTTTTAGTGATCATTTTTTTCATAAAATATGATTATATTTTACCATTTTGGGAGGCTTCAGCCCGAAAGTCCTCCCCCCCTCCTCACTCCTTAGATCCATCCACCTGTGCTTGTCATTTTAATCCAACATTTTTATTTTTTAGAATCCCCTCCTTTTCGTAATATGTTTAAGACTGTTAACAGTATAAACGTCTATATACATCATTAATAAAAATTCTAGATTGAAATGACAAGGAACATAAATATTGTGATACTGAGACAAAAATTCTAATACAGAATAATTTTAAGGAAATCATATTTTTTGAAATGAAAATTATAATAATAAAGGTGTTGAAAATAGAAAAAAATCGGATAAGTAAAAATAAAATACTGGAACTAAAACAACTTAAAAAATAGATGGAAAATTCTTGATTAATTCAAATAAGTTAATATACATGTTAAGTCTATACATACTGCACATGAAGTGTATTTTTTTATCTTAATTTTTTTCCAGAAATAGTAAAATATGCTATTGAAGAATGTGCAATTATTCTTAACTTTTATACTTAAGCATAATCAAAGCTTGCAAAAGCCAAACCTGTGAATGTTGAGCGATTACTGTAGAATTTTAGTAAATTGTTATGAGTTACTTTTCAGTTTTGTTTATATCCTACCCAAATTTTAATATAAAAATGTATAATAATAATTATAATTACAGATTATTTACATATAATAATAAATATAATTATAGATACATTGTAAGAATTGATTATTAAATCAATAAAACTGACTTTAAAAAAAATTTTATAACATGTTAATAAAAACCAAAAAAATAAATATTTGTTTTTCACATTATTGCTTCAATTTTTAATATAAATTTTCTCTATTCCTCTCTAGCTCAGATTTTAATTAATTTATTTTAATATTTAAATTTTGATTATCATGGAATAAGTATTGTATTGTGCTAATTATTTAATATCTTCAATCTTTTTATTATATAATACAATATTAATTTTCAGATCAAGAACCATTTTGCCTGAGATACCGTTACAAAGAAACCATTTCAGAAGGCCTACCTCTGGGTTCTTTCATCTTAACTGTATTTGCTGTTGATTTAGATTTGGAATCAAAATTAAGATTTTACCTCACTGGAGATGGCTCAGAAAACTTTTCAATAGATCGTACAACAGGTGATTTTCTACTCTAGTATTAAATTATTATTTTTATTTGTTTAAAACTGTAAAATATTGCTTTCATATTATGGCTTCCGAATAGTTTTAGTAAACCTCCAACTCAGTTGATATATTTAGTCTCAGAATTTATGGTCAATATGATCGTTAAGAAAATATGTGTACCATGCTTATTTCAGAAACCATATATTGTAGTACGCTATTTCCTCTTGTATCCTCTAGATTGAGAACTCTGTAGGTTTAAATTGAAAGGATGTTTATTTAGTATGGAGTGACTAGCTCAGGGTCCTTTCAGATCTCTTAAAATAACTCTGTCTAACTGTAGCGAATTTTTGTTTCTTTTTTTTCAAGAGTTTTTTAGAAACAGCTCACGATGAAGCTGTCACTTTTTATACCTTTTATAAATCACATATCTTACCTAACTTAAAGAAATATTATTTGTAAGTTGGTTGAAAATATAAATGATAAAGTTATTCTTCCAAAGTAAAAAAGTTGGATAATTAATGATTGTGAAAAAAAAAAAATGATTTATTTATTTTTTTATAAATATCATAATCTGTCACATGAACAATAATTATAGTGAGATATTAACACAACTAAATTCAGTTCAATGAAAAGACTATTCTGCTCTTCATGTGGAAATGAAATTGGGTGGTAAAGAAATGCATAGTACACATCATTTTTCTATTTTAAAACATTAGCTATTTCACTGTTCTTTTAAGGTACAAAATTAGGTGGATATACGCAGGTGACAGCTTCTTAGCAAAATAGTTCTAAGACCATCCAAACTTAACTTATTGAATATAGCTCAGGTCTGAAAATAATTCTGCAAAGATTAACATTATGCCCTACGATCAGTTCAAATATTCCTTCCAACAAGTTAGAATCATGACTTTTCTAAAGCCTTTATAAAAATATTTATTAAATAATTACTGACAAAAAGACTGAGAAAAAAATATATGAAAATGTGCTGAGATTGAACTCAAATTTATTAAGAACAGGCTCACTTTATTTACATAATGGTAGATGAAACTACATCTCTCTGTGCTTGCAATATGATAATTGGAATATTTTATCCTGCAAAAAAAACAGCATTTTTTAATTTCTAGTATTGTGTTAGAGTTCCACATCCATGGAACTTCAGGAAAGTATTAGATATGGACATTAGAAAATAATAAATATGGCCACAAACGATAAAGATGTGGAATCTGAATCAATACTCATTCCTGGACCTCAAATAACAAGCTACCACGAAGTCGTCCTATTTCAAGAATGTTTTCTGTAAATTTATTTTAGCTTTTATTTTATTAATTTATTTTCTCATTCTAACCAATTTTTATGATGAAAAAATAGTAATTTATGTCAATAAACAAAGTAGGTTTAACTATTTTCTGCCGAAATTTAGTAAATGGCAGGATTTTATTTTTGTTACACATTTTGGTCTTGGTTTTGCCATTTTATAATTTTTTTACTGCACAAAAACTGGGTTATTTATCACTTATTATGTCAATTCGAATGCGACAGATTGTACATGTAGCTCCTCATAAATTAAATACTACAAGTAAGCAACCTATACTAACCAAAGTGGGAAGATTGAGATTCATTTTATGGGTCCACCAAAAAATAAATTTCAATCCGTCAAGGCTGAATTCAAAATGGCTGCACTGGACTCGAGGTTGCTTAGATTATGACACCTTAACACTCTCGGCCATCATGGCCTCAGCTTTTGGAGAACCATCCCTACAACAGTTATATCTGTAGTTAAGTCTATGTTAGTGTATATGATGACCGAGCTTGTTGGGGAAAGGGTCCCAGATTGCCTTACTTTAAACGGTATTGGTTCAATTTCTAGCTGATAGATCAAATATTTATTTTTTAGTACAAATATTTATTTTGTAAAGGCCTAAAGATCTCTCTCTCTCTCTCTCTCTCTTTCTCTCTCTCTCTCTCTCTCTCTCTCTCTCTCTCTCTATATATATATATATATATATATATATATATATATATATATATATATGTACTCAACAGAGATTATATATACATCCTACATTAACAATGCTTATTTTTAATTACCAAATATTTTTTTTATCTTTCCTAGTTTTTCTTTATTATTTTTTTCAATATAAAGCATTTAATTATTTTAAATAAACATAATTGGAGGTACTTTAAGAGAAGAAGAAACTTTAAAAAATTGTCATTTAACTGATATTAAATACCATTTAATTCTACATAGACGTAATGAGTTTAATCGAAATCGGTAGAAACGTTCTAGAGAAAAATGTGTAAATACGATGATATAAACTGATACTTAAGGTTAGTTGATCAATGATAAAAAGTTGCTATATCATTCCAGCCATGTAGCTACATTGTATGTGGTTTACATTAATTATATATATATATAAGTTAAGCGTCGGCGGACTTCAGAAATAAAAAAAAAAGAAGGAAAAGGATTGAGATGCAACACTCACGGCTTCTGATAAAACACTGCTTTATTCGTTCAATAATTCTCCTTATATACAATTAGCATGTTTGTTTACATTTCAAGATGGTATTAAGGCTGATATCGCCAGTCTCCGGTCTTTATCTTATATATATATATATATATATATATATATATATATATATATATATATATATATATATGTATTTAGAAACTTTACATTATATAATATATAATGTAAACCACGAGTTATCTTGTAGGTTGCAGTTCAGATTAGGGTACAAAGTAACAAAATCACATTATTCTATTTACACAATTTTACCATCAATAGTACTAATAAGATCGAGAAATTTGTCTATGGTTATTTAGTTTTAACCATGGAAAGTTTCTGTGGGCATCTCTTTGTTTATTAATTTTTTATATATTTTCAGGAGAACTAAAAACATCTAGATTACTTGATCGTGAAAGAAAAGCTCATTATTCTTTAATAGCACATGTGCAAGATAGAGAGCATACCGAATGGGAATGCATGTCATTTATTGAAATATTCTTGTCTGATGTAAATGATAACCCACCAGTTTTTCCAGCTTTTAATTTTACAGCATCAATTCAAGAAGATGCTCCTATCGGCACCATAGTTACAAAAATGCATGCTACAGATGATGATATTGGTAAATATATTTATTATTTCAAGTTTTTATTGAAATGTTGCAATGAGTATTGTTTATTGATTTTTCTGCTTTATTATGTATAAGTTGAATTAATATTTTATACAAACAAAAAAAAAAAAAATTGCAGGAGTTAATAGAAAAGTCCGTTATTTCCTTATCAACTCTGCTGATAGATATTTCAAAATGGATGCAGAAAGTGGGATTATTACTTTAGCTAAGACATTGGACCGAGAAACACAGGAAACCTATAATCTTACTGTCAAAGCTGTTGATCAAGGTTTACCTCAATTATGGAGTCATGCAACTATAACCGTTCAAGTATTAGATGTTAATGATAATCCACCAGAATTTGTTTCTCGAACATATCACACTTCAATTATTGAAAGTGCAGCTATTGGTTCAGAAGTTATTCGAGTAACTGCTACTTCTTTAGATTCTGGCTTGAATGCTGAGATTGAATATTCTATTGTAGGAGGGAATGAGCATGGAAAGTTTGCAATTGACAAAAAATCTGGTAAATTTTTAATATGTTGTTTTATGATTTATGGTACAAATACTCTTATCTATAAAATTTCATTTGTATTTATAATACTTTTACAGGTGCCATTACTATAATGATTCCACTGGACTATGAAAGAACACATGAATTTTTATTAACAGTTCAAGGAACAGACCTAGGTGTTCCACCTCTAAGTAGTCAAGCAACAGTGAATATAACAGTGTTAGACAGCAATGATAATGCCCCTTCATTTAGCGAGATATCTTACTCAGCTGAAATAAGTGAAGATTGTAATGTTGGTGATGTTGTAACACAAGTATGTATGCTGTATTTATATTTTTTCTCTATAATAGGAATGCTATTTAATTTTTTTTATGTAACAGTTGTATTTTAGTTCAGAATATTAAAGTTAGAATTTCTTAAGTTATTATCATTATTAAAAGTATGAATAATTTTTTTATACATCTTTATATATTGCAGGTTTTAGCAACAGATTTAGATACTGATATGAATGGTAAAGTAGTATATACTATTGAAAGAGGGGATAAGCATCAACAGTTTTCTATTAATAAAGATAGTGGATTAGTAACAGTTGCCAGGCCCCTTGATCGAGAAATGGTACATTTCATTTTCCAAATATATATTTTTTTGTATGTAAAACATCGTAGTGCATTGCATTATAAATTAAGTACTATTGTTCTTTTCCATATTAGTACAAAAATTATACATATGCTTTCTAATTTTTGTTTTGTTTCCTTGCAAATATCAAGGAGCAACCAAATAAATTAGATCAAACTGTGTTTCTTTATATATATATATATATATATATATATATATATATATATATATATATATGTACACACATACATACATACATAAATACATACATAAATACATACATATCTATATGATTTTTTAAATTTCAGATTGCTAGTTACACTCTACAGATTCGTGCTGCTGATAGAGGTATTCCCGAAATGTCAAGTTTCACTGCTTTAAACATTGAAGTAATTGATGCAAATGATAACCCTCCATTATTTACTCAATCAAATTATACTGTAATTGTTCAGGTAGGCCAATGTTACTTCAATGATCAAAATGACTAATGTTCTTTAGCATTAAATAAAAATGGTACTATAATTATTTCTGTATCTTTATAGGAAGATAAACGCCCCGGATGGGCTGTATGCCAATTATTAGTAACAGATTCAGACATACCTCCTAATACAGGACCTTTTATATTCGATCTTCAATCTGGCCCGGGTCGTGCATCATTTCGAATAGAGCCAGATGGAACATTGCGCACAGCAGCATTACTTAACTATAAAATTCAAGACACATATTTACTTCATGTTAGAGTTTTTGATAATGGTTCTCCACCTCTCTATTCTGATACATGGGTTATAGTTAAGGTAGGTTTTCTGATAAGACTGTAACTTTATAATTCATAAATTGTTCATGGTTGTAATCAATAACTTATATTAAATCGATATAAATAATAGATTGATAAACTTTTTATTAAATATGTTATAATGAATGAAACATAAGAAATATGTTTGCAACATTGGATCAATGTGAAAATTGATTCGTTGATAAGAGTTTTCAAATATTTTTGCCTTTCTTCAGTTACTGAAGTGTTCCCAGTATCATCATTTGAATTAAACATCTCAAAAATTTAATTGAACCAGTAATAAAAAATCAGAAATGACTAGTTTTCAAACAGTTTTTCTTTAATATGGCTATTGGTAATTTTCCTTAAAATTTCATTTTTAAAATAGACTTCTTTAGTTCTTTATATATTTATATATATATACATATATTCATTGTTCATCAATACTTACAGGTCATAGAAGAATCACAATTCCCTCCTTCTGTAACACCATTGAACATTTGGATTGGATCTTACCAAGAACGCTGGAATGGTGGAGAAATAGGCCGAATTCACACAACAGATCAAGATCAATATGATACTCTAAACTTTGCCATAGCTTCAAGCCATCCCAAATCACACTCACTCTTTTCCATTGATCCTCATAATGGGGTTTTAACTGCCTCACCTGGCTTGGATCCTGGAAGATATAGCTTGAACATATCTGTTAGCGATGGAAAATATCTTTCCTATGGTAGCATAAAAATTATAGTGGAACCACTGTGGGATGAAATGTTACAAAATGCCTATAGTATAAGGTAATTTAGTCCTGCAGTAATTTCTTATTGATATACATATGAAGTTCTAGTTTCTTTTTTACATTTTAGGAAAGTATATTTATGCCATAATCATAGATTATGAAAATAATAGATCATTGATTATTTTATAGTTTTCTTTGATTTATTTATTTTTTAATGCCTAATGTTAAGAAGAACAATATGTAAACTTTGATCTAAAAGGTCTTTATCAAACTTTAATTTGATTACTATTTTTATTAGTTTAGCGGCATATTTTAATAATTATAATGATAAATTCCATTCATTTCACAGTATATATATATATATATATATTATATATATATATATATATATATATATATATATATATATATATATAATTTCTTTATTATTTACTTAAAAATTATATGACTCATTAATCGATATATTTTAAACTTATTTCTACAAAAATTTCATTTATATTTAGATTATGAATATGATTGATGTAATTAGTATTAATTTTATTTTATTCTTTACAGAATACCAGGAATGACTCCTCATACATTTATTTTAACTCAACGGAAAACTTTATTGAAGGGTTTGAAATCAATGCTTATGAGGGAAATATCTGTTCTTAGTGTTCAAGAAGTTAACACTGGAGATATAGATGCACTAGTGCATATTAAAGATGTAAGTAGTAACTCATAATTACAACTACAAATATTATTTCTATTCATACCATTTTCCAAATTATTGGTGCTGCTTAATGGTTCTTATTACATAAACTTAATTTAATTTTTTTCAGGGTATTGAAATAGAAGATCTCAATGAAGCATTGAAGTCAATAAACTTACCTGCTCTTCAGCTAGACTGTAAATGTTTAAATGGTGCTATTTGTAGACAACGTGTAAATTTTGATTCAGAAAGAATTCTTATGATATCTACTGATTTTAATTCCTTTGTGGCACCATCACATACTCATGACACATATTGTGCTTGTAATTTTGGCTATACAGGTATTAAATACTTTATAACGATAAATTAAATTAAGTAAAATGAAAATAGTGTTTTGGTTGATTTATATTTATTAGATAATGACTTTTTCCAATATCATAAAAATATTTACTGTTTATTTTTATTTTTTGTAGGGGAAAAGTGTGAGGAATTATTACCACCAACCCAATGTGAGTGCCCACCATCGCAAACATGTATTCCTCAACCTGGCCCTCCTGGTTTTGTATGCGCACCACCTTCTCCAGCTTCTCCATTATGCTCATTAAATCACACTTGTCCTCCAATATATAATCCAACTTTCAGTGGGTTGTACAGCTTTACATGGATGCAGATCATGATAGTAGCTTCTGTAGCATCCTTAATATTTTTGCTGTGCTTCATTTGTTTTCTTTGCAGGTATGGTAGTATAATATTATTTATATATAATCATAATTAGTCGTAACCTTAATAAGTTTGAATGATGCATAAAACACATTGCTTTTATGAATATTTTAACAATATATTGTCAAATGATTTATTGTAGTAAGTTCTAATGATTAATGAGGCAATTAAAAAAAATGAATAATAATAATAATGCTTATTGTAGTCGAGTTAATGATGAAGGAGAAAATATGTTTTTATAGTGTATGTTTCTTATTTATTTATTGATATAAATATTTGTTGAATTTTAATCCAATTTTCATTGTGATATTTGTCAAAATATAATAATAATGTGGAATTACAACTCTTTGTTGGTCCTAAGCTCCACAAGAAGCTTTTGCCAGGAGGATCTATTCAGTGTGTTTGACTCCTATTCACAGACTTACAAGATATGCCTGGCATATTGTACCAATACACCTAATCTCAGTTTTTCTCTTCCTCTTTGGTACATTCTTTTTTTTTTTTGTTTTTGTGCTACAGAATTTTCTTCTTGTAGCTTTTTTGTAGTCCTCCTAGCTCATTCTGGCCATATAAATAGTCCACCCAAATCTATTAATTTTCATTATGTCAGGTTACCCCAACTTTTCTTACACTTCCCTGTTGATACGTCATTTCTATTCATCAATTTCCCTGAAAATTTTACATAGTCATATTGTTTCAAATACAATTCAAACAACTATTTCTTTTTTCTAGGTCTTTGATATAATACATATTTTGATGGCATATGTAAGCACTGGTCTAGTCAGGGTTTTATAAAACATAAATTTGTTTAACTGGGTAAAAATTAGCTCTTTCATTGTATCTGAAGCCTGAAGTAGCACCTATTGGTGTTAATAATAATTAGAGACTGGATTTGAAGATCTAAATTTACTAAAAAATAGATCGTAAAAATCATTTTTTAGATATAAAAAAGATGCTAAACTTTTTATTAATAATAGTTAATAGTATAAAAATACAAAAGTATTTGTGAAGCTTAAACATTGTTTAACAGGAATAACATAAATGAATATTGCAAAACCGAGTAGCAACATTAAACCATAATGTTTACAAAAATTATATTTTAAGAACTAACAATACTTAATAATAAAAAGGGCAAGTTCCTAAATTCAGCACAAATTCCATCAAACAGCTGAGCCATCGTGAGTGAAAGTGCTGAATTCCGTCAATGGTTTTCATTGATGGGTTTTAATCCTTGCCATATAGACGGAAGTAAACTGAATATAAATTTGTAAAGTTATTTGGGATATAAAATTTGACTTTTTTTTCCAATTTAATTTTTGATAGTCTTGTTAATCTTGTCTATCAACCTTTACCACTTGACTTCTTATGTTGAGACATTGATTATATTATAGTTGCCATATTTTTTTAGTAACTACTTCAAATCATTTGATTGAAGTGTTAACGTTTTTTTTAATTAATAAAACTGTATTAAGCGATGTTACTAAAGTGGCTTGATTTAAATTTCATAGATTACCTAATTTTTTTTCTTTAGTCATATTTTGTCAAGGTATTTATTTGTATAAAAAAGAAAAAATATATAAATATTAACATTTATTTTTAGCTATATGAATTCTTATTTATTTTTTAGGAGATGTAAGGAAAGGCCTATTGATGAAGAATTGGATAAAAATATTCCTGTTTTAAATTCTGATATGAAACGGTCTTCCAAGTTAAGCAATTTAGAAGTCACACAAGTATGTTATTTATCTTCTTGATAATGTAAAGCTCCTATTGAAATAATTTATTCTTTTGAACAATTTTTTATATTATTTAAAAGTATTTAATAAAGGATTAAATGAGGATGTCCCCAAAGCAAAATGGTTCTGTTAACAATTTCTGTATTGATTTATAAAACATATTACATTACTAAAAATATTTTATTGAGTATAACCATATCTATCTGTTATTACTTTTAAATCAGGTTACAAAGAAAACTCATAATATATATTTACCTCATATTTAAACATTTTTATTGTAACATCATTAATATATAAAATTTTTCAACTTTTTTTTCTCTTCTCCTCATAAGAAAATATCTAATATTTCAAATAACTTAGACTATATTTTTTCTACTTAATTCTTTTGACCTTTAATTTTCTTAACACCTTTCTCATTCATTTCATCATAAAAAAATCATTTTCTTTGAACCTGTTCTTCCTATGTATGTATGTGTATTTCACTTATTCTGGTGCCATTATCTGTAATAATTATGTATGACTTCTAGCCTTTATTAATCTTACCAGTCTTACATTACTAGCCTTATGACTCATATTTGTAAGACATTTGTTCTTTTATGAATATTGTTTCTATCAAAACTTTGCTTACCTCCATCCTTCCTTTGGGAATTGTTCTTTTTTACCACTTCTTTTGTTTGTGTACCATAGCAAATACACTACCTTACTGTACATTTCAATATTTCAGCATACAAATAATTTTCATTTTTGTTGACTTTTTTCAAACCAATTGTGTAAATACAGATTTATGCATTTTCACAGTGCACACCCCGTCCTGCATCCTATACATCTGGTTCTAATAATGAGGTCTACACTGGTCCTTTGAATAATCTTGATACTGTTAGAAGTTATGGTTCAGCTGGAGATGAATTAGAAAATGTACCACCTGATTATGTAAAGAATCTTAATAGAAACAGCTCTAGTCCTGGGCACAAAATTAATAATGGTATGGATTTATTTTATTTTTCCTTTAGGTCATTTTTAAATGTGGGGTTTAAATATATTATTTTATTTAATAATAAATTACATTAAAGGGTTTAATATATTTTATCTCCAGATCTCAAGCGGTTGCCTGAAATTGCTCCAAGAGGTGTAAGAAAAACCTTGAGCTGTGTTGAGGAAGATGCACGTATTTTAGGAGGTAAATATAAAACCAAATTAAAAGTTGCAGATTTATATTTTATAATATGGTTAGAAATGAGATGTTAAGTATGATAACCAGCTTGACCCATTTTTCCCAACTTGAATTTTCAGTGTTTCGAATCCTAATCCTAGGTATATTGTGTTAAATCCATGAGAAATTTGGAACAAAGATGTTTCTGTTTGTTGGAAAATGTCTTCAGAAGTATATATTGTTTTGAACTCTCCTTGATCCAATGTTACTTTAAGTGCTATCAGTATTGGCCACCATTAGTGGTGTGCAGTCACAAGACGTGTTTGCAAAGAAACTTTTTTAAATACATTTTCGCTGTTAAAAAAAAAATCAAGTTCAAAGTATGATACACATCTATTGAAAATGGAATAACTTCTGAAGAAGGAATAAGTGATTAGAAAAAATAAATGCATATTGATAAGAAGATATTAGCCATTCAACATTATAGAGAAATTGACATAGATAGACTGTTGCCAGAAAAAAGTATCAACCATCAGATTTGAATGTGAATAAAATATGGAATTTTTATGATAATGAACAAAAAATTTACCATCTAAATGTTGGCATTTCTTTATTTTGTAAAATTTTTAAGACAAAGTTCAGCATTGATTTCAGTTCTGTACAGTTTATTTAAAATATATTGTAGAAATGACAGTATTGTATTATAAATTAATTTATTTTAATGTTTGTCAAATTATTTTAATATTGTCTTGAAGAAATACTGTCCAGCTTGTATTTTTTATAAATGTAATAAAAACCAAAATGCATTTGACAACAGTATCTTAAAACAATTATGAATCTTAGTTCTTTCCAAAAATATTCAAAACTTTTCATCAAATCCATATGCTGGATGAGCAAAATTTTGTATTCCTCATGCAAGATTTTTGAAAATCTATTAGGCTGAACTTGATACTAAGTGATAAAAATTTATTTTCATACATGTAAACTATATAGACCTATCTCATATAGATACATCTCAACTAGTCTATTAATAGTATGGATATTCACTCAGTTTAATGTTGTTTTTTTAGGTTATCATTGGGACTGCTCTGATTGGGTAAGGCCAAATCAAAATCCACTTCCAAATATTACAGAAGTTCCTGGAAGTGAAGTCCCGGATTCATCCAGCTTTCACAGCAATGAAAGCAATGATTCCATTTCTCATCACCAACAAGCTCATGCAGGTATTATTTCATTCATTCAATTATAATATGGAGGATAGTACAATGATTTATTCAAGTATTTGTATCTTTTCTTCTTAAGTTCAAATAGGACTATAAGCACAATTATTATTATATCTATTATTATTATATATGATTCTTTTTAACATATAGAAAGCATATTTAAGATGCTACTGGAGAATAAAATGCTTTAAGAAATATTAAGAATTTTGTTATCTATTTATTGTATTTTTCTATTTTTTTTTTCATGTTTGTTAGTATAAGGTCAAATAAGAAAAACTTTAATGAACTAATTCTTTTATCTTGTACATAAACTGTTTATGATGACAATATTATAGGATTTCATAGTAGTTGACATATTTCATAAATAAGGGAAATCTAATCCATTATCATCAATTAATTGTATTAATTTCTTAATGGCATTTCTTTTAAAACTCCATTCAAATGAGCAATTGAATTGTTGGATTTATTTTTAAACTATCCATTATACTTTTCTTTATAAACATTTTCATTTCATAGAATCTCAGACCAGTGATTATTTTAAAAATACTTGGTAATAACTATCAAAACATTTAAGAAAAATTTTACCTTAGTCATTCCATGATTTTGTTAAATTAACCTAATTGATTTGACATAAATAACCTCAAACAATGACATATATAGTCCTATTAGTGAATATTAACTTTTTGTTGTAATATGATTGATAGACTTATTATCAATCACATTTCTCTAATCATCTAAAGTAACTTATGGATTTACTTTCCATAAATGCACTATAATATGTACTGTTTTATGAATTACTCAAAATTTGATAATCTTTCTAGTTGCGGTTTGCAGGTAAGTGATTGTAAGGTACAGTATATATGAATTTAGAAATGACAAAATAATTTATGTAGATTATTACTTATCTTTGGTTATATAAAATGTTATTTATCATCCATAAACTTTAGTATGTATGTATCTTGTACTTTCATGTGAATCTTAATTAAACAATCAACAAAGATAAGCTGAATGGACTTGAATTTGAGACAAGGACAGTACTTTACCTCACAGGTTGTAATAAATATGCAGAATGGGATCCTCTGTACTATCAATACTTTTTTTTTATAACAAAACAAAACAATGACTGAAATAGCGACTATTTTCAAAATCATATCAAATTGAATAGGTGCTCATTTGGAAAAATGTCATTGTGTATGCAAAAAATAATGAAGATATATGTTTAAACTCCACACAATTTAAATTAAATTTAAAAAAATCTAGGAATTTAGTCACATTATATTTTGATCAAAAAATAAATTAAAATTATAAACTATGATTGATTAGTATGGAATTTTCAGAAAACTATAATATTAATTTGTTGACACCTAATTCATGGACTTAACTAATAATCTATGAATATGAAAAAGTGTAATTTCTTGATGTAATAATATGTAAAATGTAGGGAAAATTGATTAATGAAGCTGCCTTATGAATTTGATTTAAATGGGTTCTACTTAGCCACAGTGTTTATATATTACATATTTCAATTTTTTAAATCACTTTTTTTTGTTTCATAGCACTTATTGACCCTGCTCGAGATTTAGCAACTCTCGATGAAGAGCTTTATTTAACATATCATAGTGAAGATGACGACATGATGCCATATGGCTTCCCACCTCAAAGATATGCCAGTCACAGTGATGTTTCTACAAATGTGTGTGATATTGAAGATCCAGATGTGCCAACGTAGCATAAACTTAAGTTAATCTCATCTATAATGTCTTATATATTACTTTTTTAAATTTACAAATAATCATTTTTCTTGGTTTCTATATTATATATATATATATATATATATATATATATATATATATATATATATATATATATATATATATATAAACTTTATAAAGTATTAGTTATTTTAGGCTTACGTTCCAAACTGATTTTATCATTAGCATCTAATTAAGCTAACCTGAGGTATCCATAAAAAGAAATAATTTCTTTTTAAATTATTATCATATGGCCTCATTCAAAGTTTGGATACAGTATCTGATATAAAATAGATATTTTTGGAGCATTTATATTAACTTTTAATGATTAAATGAGAAAACAGTGTTTATCATAGATTAGGTTATTTTACTATAAAAATTTTAAATGTACATTAATACTTATGACAGGTATTATTAATAATAATTGTGTTTCTACGATTATGTTTCTATTGTGTCATTATGATTACACATTAAAGAATATAATAGACTGACTTTGAAAAATATGAGCTTTAATGCTGTAAATTAGATAGTTAAAATGATATATTGTGACGAATTTAAATGTGTATGCTATGGATTGATTGATTATCCGAGAAATCACAACTTGATATACATTCACACTTCTTTCATTCCTCTTCAGACATTTTTTTATTTGTGTTCACCTTTAGAACTCATTTTAGTTGGAAACTTATCCAATGTTTCTTTTATGAACATTTAAGTCTCTAAAAAATCATAATTTTATCCTTTACTTATTTTTCTAGTTAGGATGAGACAAAGATATACCAGTCTAACTAGTATGCATTAATTAATTAACATAATTTCCTCTCAAAGAAAGGCTATTAATTTTTACTTACTTTTAAACTAAGACTGATTACAGTACCTTTCCTAATTTTAATATAATTTTTATATGAAAAATGTTGTGTGATTAGGTAATTTATTATTTGTTTGAATACTACTTATTGCATAACAGCTGGATCATGTCATTCCATTTCATATATATTCTCATTTGTTGCTTTGTTATATTGTATCTATGTACATAACTTCTGTGAGATATATGCACTTGCAGTTTAAATTCTATAGAATATAATAGGAGTTAACCATTAAATTGATTGTTTTAAATTTAATTTATGGACAATTAATTAAAAAATATACTTATTGTAATAATAAACAATGGTAAATATTATTAATTTAATATAAAGGACTTTGCTAAAAATCAGTGTATTTTATGATATGGTATTTTTTGATTTAAAAAAAAAATATATGTTATAATTTTTCCTATTATAATTATAACTTTATTAAATATATTATAATTTTATTGGTGATAAATTAAGGGAACAAGTTTGTTAAAAGTTCGCTATTAACTTTTATTTCTTGATTTATACAATGTTATTGTGAAGAAACTTTATATAAACTTAGAAGAATTAATTGATTAATTATATTTTTCTTCGATATATCAGTGAGATATAGGTTTAATGTGTTTTGTATAGTAACAATCTTAAACATGTTTATTACTGTTGTTATTTAGAATTTTCAAATATTGGTATTTTTCTTCTGGTGTTAAGAACAAAATTGATTATAGATGAAATCTTGTGGGGCATTGAAAAAAGTTGTAAATAATTGTAAAAATAATTTTTAAGTGAAGTAATAATTATCTGTAAATCTTTTGAATGTAATAATTATTTTATTTATATACATACACATTAAAAATATGTAATACTTAATAATAATTGATAAGTATTAATATTGAAGCAGCATAAATATGTCTATGTTTGCTATCACATGAAGTCTCATTGACACATATTGCATAAATTCTTTTTAAAAAAAAAAAACGAAACATTTTTTAAAAGATAATAATGTTATAATTACTGATTATTAACTAGCTGATAAAGTTGATATTGATAATTTAACTTAATTACATTTCATGCTGTGATATTAAATATAAGAATTTCTTTCACTCTCAAGAAATCGATATTTACTGAGAGAAATTTGGATCATTAAATGTACATAATGTGTAAACAATGAAGTGTAGTTATTTTTTTAATATTTGGATTAATTATAAACATTTTATAAGAAAACCATATTAATTTTATTTTGAGCTATACACATATAAAATTATATCTATGTGTTTGTAGATGAATGACTACATATACATCGATACATGTGTGTGTTTGCATGTGTCTAAATTTATAGTCTATTGAGACCTTATTAAAACTCTGAAAACTTACTATTATTATAGCTATTTAAAAATTATACATTTGAAAGGAAGTTTGATTAATAGTAGTTATTAACAAGGATGTTAATCTTACTAGTATGTCAATTTTGTTTTTCAGGGTTTATAATGTATAGAAATGATTTTATTGTTTGGATGGCATTTTTAAAATTTAATTTTGTAAAATGCAAAAGTGGTACTCAATATTAATATTTATTTGGATGTATTTTTATTTTCTATACAATAAATTAATAATTTTGTATTTTAATGAAGTGTGTTAAGGTGTGTGTGTGAGAGAGTGTGTGTGTGTGTGTGTTTGTAATTGTGTAAATTAAATATATTGATTAAACCCACAGACACACATACACTTTCATACATAAAACAAAATAAAAACATATGGACACATACATATGCACACTAAATGTTTCCATTTATGTTTTGAAACTATAATTTAAATATTTGATTTATATTTATGCTTTAGTAGTTGCTTCCTTAGATTATTAGAAAATAATTTCCAGAGACTGAAAAAGTTTACTTTATACTTTCCTATTTAGCAATGTAAATAAATTCTTTTGTTTATATATTTTTGTTGTCTTTATTTCTTTTATTTTCCATCCTATACTCACTGAGCCATGTTTGGATATGCTAGTTATAGAGCCATTATAAAGTAATATGGATTTATAATGAAATGAAAAGGAAATTTTTTTATTCTAGGACTTATGAATCACTTAGAATAATTTATAATACATAATAATAACTGACAGACAGTTCAGCAAGAATCATTAAGAGAAATTAAATTAGGGAATATTAAATCCATTGGTTATTCAATATTTATAGATAACTAACTAACTCCATGGCGCTACAGACCGGTGTGGTCCTTGGCTACCTCAATGAGCTCTCGCCAGATGGCTCTATCTTGTGCAGTCGCTCGCCAGTTGTGGATATGCAATACTTCTCTGGCGTCCCGGATGACGTCGTCCTCCCATTTTAGACATGGTCTGTCTTTCCCTCTTGTCCTGCAGAGCTTCCCATCAAGAAACTTCCTTGGGACTTCCTCTTCTGGCATTCTGGCCACATGGAGTTGCCCAAGCTTGATGCACCTCAACACATCTGTATCCCCGTACTGATCATATAGTCCTCCTCCAATCATCACTGACCTTAACAGGTCCAAAGATACGTTGAAGGATCTTCCTTTCAAAGATTAGTAAATCTTTTTCTTCTTTGGTAGAGATGGTCCAGCTTTCCGATCTATATGTAAGAACAGGCCTAATGAGGGGGGTCTTATATAAGAGGCATTTTATATGACGGGAGATGGCAGAGCTTCCAGGGTGTTTGCCAAGGCCAAAATAGCACCTGTTTGCCCTTATTATTCGGTGGTTGACCTCCAGGGATATTCTATTTCACAGCTTACAATAGCTCCCAGATAGGTAAACTGGTGTACATTGTGGAACGTAAATGGGCCCATAACCACCGCTACTCATACTGCCGGCAACCTGATATATGAATCAGATGATATAAAAATAGTCACGAATTCGCGTTCCGGTGCCGAGGGAGTCTTTTAAATCCCCGCCCACACCCTCTGGCCTGGTAAAACCACGCAAAGCCTTAACAGGGAGGAAGGGAAGGATAAAAAAAAAAAAGGTACTCATACTGTGGTCTCGGTTTCAGATCTGCTCGCATATATATTGTCTTGTCCTGGTTTACACTCATTCCCAAAGTTTCTGTCACTTCATCCATTCTTAAAAATGCACTCTTAAGAGACTCAAAGGAATGTGCCATCAGACCTAGATTGTCAGCAAATCCCTGTATCTGAGTTAATCTGTTAAAGATAGTGTTGGTAGTCTGGATCCCCGAGTCGCATATCACCTTCTACAGGGCCAGGTTAAACAATAGGCAAGCAAGCCTGTCCCCCTGGCTCATTCCTCGCGTGGAAACAACTTCAGGTGACAGGTCTGATTGTAGCCAGACAGTGCACCTAGCATCATCCATAGTCATCTTGATGAGGCAAACAAGTTTTGGGGGAACTCCAAGGTCACACAGGGCTTTATACAGTTGAGGTCTCTTGATGCTGTCGTATGCACTCCGAAAGTCAATAAACAGGTGATGGGTCATCATCCTGTACTCTTGAGACTTTTCCAGTATCATACGGAGGTTAAACATCTGGTCAACTGTAGATATACTTCCTCTGAACCCCGCCTTTACCTGGCGTTAGTTAATGCAATTACCTGATATTTACCAATCTCTCTCTCAGCAAACAGGAGGAGTTTGCAGTAAATAGAGTTTGAGAGGATATATATATATATATATATATATATATATATATATATATATATATATATATACAAGTTAACTTATATACATATATATAAAAGTTAAGTGTCAGTGGGTTAAAACTATTGCAAGTTGTCACTTAAATAATTAGTCAATGAATCAAAGAAACAAATCTACTTTATTTGAAAATGACAAATATAATAATGAAAAGTAAAAATAATTAAACATGTGGTATTCTTATTGAAGTCTATTAGTTTCAACTATGAAATGGTATTATGGTTAATACCATTGCTCTTTTGGGTGTAAACTCCACCCGCCAGTTTACGAACAATTTTTGTAAACTTTGTATAATAGAGGATAGTACTGCTCTCTACAGTAATTCTGACATTGCGATTGACATTACTTCTTTTCCTCGGTTCTTTTACGCTCTCAACGGTTACAACATTATGTTCCCTAATTACTATCACCTAACTTACTACTGTAAATATAGCTTATATATAAAAAAAACCTGTACCACTACAACCCATGAAGGGTCTTGGGTTCATGTTCTGTTGCTAATGGCTGTTAAAAATC